TTATTATTATTATTATTATTATTATTATTATCATCATCATTATTATTATTATTATTATTATTATTACCTGAAGGAACCATAATAGTGGGCGAATTCTCTCCACTAAGAGTCGGACGGGGCGAATGTTCCCTGCCATGCGTAGAATAGGGTGAATATGGTCTGGATAAATGGTTTACATACAGGGGCGATACTGGTGATCTAGGATCGTCTAATTCAGGTTCTAGAAAAAATAGATTTGTGTTTTTCAAAACATGAATTTTTCAAACAAATGTTTCACATATATTATCGAAAAAAATTCTTCCGAATTGATGTCTGGAAAACTCCGAGGTCGAATTTTATAAATAGAGAGAAGAATTGGAACTAGGAAACGCAAGTTGAACTACTATGCTAGATTCTTAACAACACTAGTTCAAATTGTCTCAAATTATGATTTTAAACATTAAATTAATTCAGAACAATATCAAAAATGGGTTAAGTGTCATCTTACTATTCCATAATTTAATGAGTCAAACTGCAGTTGAGTCTTTGCTGGGCCACAAACTATGATTTTTAATACCTGTATTTTTCCACTAGATGGTGAAAACCTTTGATATTTCATACTTGGATTCTTAATCATCTCACAGAATTCATAGTTGGAAATATCTATCGTCTACGACAGTGGATTGCAAAAATATAGAGATTAGAAAATCATAGTTTGAGACAAAGACTCAATTCCTTTTCGCTTTTTTCTTCCTCCAATATTTTTTTCTTTTGGAAATTTGTCCCTACATCTGTAAACAAAATTACCGATTTAAATACTGCTTTAATCTAAAGCCAGATGATTTAATTTATTTTAATTTAATTATATTTTGTTTAATGACTTTCTGTTACGTAAGAGTACCATCAGCGATTCAGAAATCCAGTTTTAATTGCGTTATTTTTTCTTCAGAAACCCACGCCATTAAATTCTCAACGTTGAGAGATATATATATGTTATTCTTTAAAATAAGAATCAATCAAATTTTTTTTTTTAAATAAAAGTTTTACCTAGAGTTTCAGTGACTACGGCGCCGCTGTTTCCTTGAAGAACGACCCTGCTCCTTGTCGTTCGCCGACTTTCCTCTCCGGACGGCTGCCGAATTCCACCGGACGAATTTCTTACACCACCGGACGAATGGCGGACACCGCCGACTGTTGTTTCGTCATTTCGCTGCCGCCGTTTACGACGAGGGGAAGATTTTTCACAAAAATTTTGATCTAAAAAAATTGTAATAAAAAATAAAACATTTTAATCAGCAGTTTCTAAAGTTCTCTAAACTCTTTTATCATATATAAAATCCCTAAAACTTTTTTGATATATATATATATAATTGATAAATAAGAAGTAAAAATAAACCTGTTTTATTAAAATAAAGTCTCGGATATATATAGATATATTTTGTTTTGTCTGTTAGTTATAAATTCAGTTTGTAAGTATACAATATACGTCAAAGCGGCTGAACTGACCCAGCTAAAAAGTTTTTTTTGGCAAATTATTTACCCAAGGGAAGTTTTTGAATGCTACAATTAAAAGTTAAAATACTTTCTAATAAAAGGTCCCGAGTCGCCGTAAAATTGCTATAAGTATTTAAATTTTCTGTCACAAGAAATATTTTTTTCAAAAATATTGATTATAAAAATATTAAACATTCTTTAACTTACAACAATTTAATTTGGAAGAATACATACAAGCTAGCCATTGAAATCGGCTTTATTTAATGAGTTCTTAACGTAATTATAATTGACATTGTGATAAAATAATTTGAAAAAGGCAGTTTTATTTTGATTTTTGAATAGTAAAATATTTTGCATAAAAAGTTATTTATTATCGATCATAATTTTTAAGTTTATTTCAAGTGACCCTCCATGCAAATATAACACGTCCTGATTCACAACGGTACCCTTAAAAACTTTGTCTGCTCAAGTATGAAATAATAAATCAATGTTTATAATTTTGAAAACTGATCATTGTTAATTGTGACTTGCACATTTTTACTGCAGCTAGAAAAAGGTATAGGAATTATCAGAACTAAACACTTTAAAACCTAGAAAATTGACAATAGCACATTTTTTATTATATATATATATATATATATACAGTTTCAAGGGTACCATTGTGAATTGGGTATTGTCATCTTTGCATGGAGGGTCACTTAAAATTAAAAAGTCCATAGATGATAATTAACAATTTCTTCATTGTTAACACTCGGATTAGGATTTAAAATGCCATTTGTGAATAGATGAGTGCTGAAACTCAATAAATTGTCATATAAAACCCTGTTTACAACACTTTAACAAGGCATAAAACCTCAAATTGCGTAAATAAATTCATTTAGGATGGGTTACCGAAGTTTTGCAATTTATTGTCGAATTTGCAAAGACTTTGAAATTCTCTGTCGTATCCTGAATTCCCAATTATCCACCCTATCCCGATTGGACTATTAAGAAAAAATTAGACCTTAAAATGGACTATTAAGAAAATTAGACCTTAAAATAAAATTAGACCTTAAAATGGACTATTAAGAAAATTAGACCTTAAAATTTTCAAAAATAGTTATTTTTACTTTTAACAAATATTACCATATGACACATGTTATCATATCCATTTTTTTAGGGCTTTCCAAATATTTAGCTTAATAATTAAAAAAGTTATTAATCATTTCTGATTTTTTTGAAACACTGACCCTTCCTTTGACCGTCCTCCACTATACCTTTTGCGTCAAAAAAATTTTTTTTTAGCAAAACTTGTTTTCAACTATTTTTTTTTAAAAGTGTTCTAATGTAAGCCGTTTTTAAGTTATTTAGAAGAAACCACAGGGGGTTGGAAAACATCCCCCCCCTCACCCAATCGTGGTTAAGAATAAATAATTTTTTCGGTTTTTTAGTTTAAAATGTGATAGTTATGTATTAATAGAAATATCATAAAAATAAATCATTAAAAAAGAATAAATGGTTGTCAACTATATTTACATTAAAGAGGACAACTACGATTCAAAACAGATTTTTCAGCAGTTTTTGGTTTTTGTTTTTAGAACCTGCATTTACTTCAAGCTATTAATTGTTGTTGTCAAGAATATGGATTTCTTAGTTCTCATCTGAATATTTAAAATATTTATAAAATATTTTAAAGCACTAATGTGAATCGTTAAACCTTTGACAAGACTACTTTAACAATTTGTGTCATTAACTCGGTGAGTCTTGTCATTTGCTGTCATAAAATAATATTTAATATAAAATTTTACGAAAATTCATAATTACAAGTCGATTAAAAAAAGGAATTTTTTGTCCCTGATTTAAGAATTAAAAAAGGAAAAATGATAAAAAAGTAAATTCTCAGATTTTGTAGAATTTTTTTTTAAGAAAAGCTTTAGTTTTTTCAGTTTCCATATCTCATTTTTTATGGTTTTATATAGATTAACATTCTGCCACCCTCCGCAACAAAAAAATTATTATTTGTTTTTTACCTGTTGTAAGGTCGCGAAGCACTGATGAATCTGACATTTTTTTCCTTGGTAACTTTTTGACAATTGTCCGTTCTCTTCTTAATTTGCTCTGAGCAGAGCAGATTTGCTCTGGGAGCACAATACGGAGCAAATCATCTGTATGGATATGCTCATCCCAACTATGATCTGAGGGATGAAAGGCTGGATGGATGAGAGAGGATGAGTTCTCATCCCCAGGTCTAGTTAGTATCTGAGAGAGAACCATGAGTATTCTCTGGACTACTGAAACACTACTGAGTCATTTCTCCGGGTATACTTAGATACACACAGACACAGTTCATATACTCACACACAGATATGCCGGCTCACGCCGCAATACAGCTCATTCAGAAGTAGATAGATAAATAGATAAACATGCGTAACATATATTCATACACAGATATGTCACTTAAGAGGTTTTAAACAAAAAAAAATATTTTTTAACCTAAAACCATAAATCATTGGTTACTTAAAGTAGTCTTTTTGTGATAACATTTTTTAATATCAAAATTTTGTCCTTTGACATTCTCTGGAGTAGGCTACATTTTTTGTTATCATCTCACTCATTATAATCCTCTTTTATCCATCTGTTTTTCTTTGCAGTCTTTTGCAGTAATTCAAGCTATTTCACTTATTGCTGTGTTTCCGCAGTAGTCCTTCTAGTTCCTGTGTAGTCTCGTGTCGTCTTCTATGTTACTGTTCAGTCTTTGTATTCCTTAAACTTTGATGTAGTCCCTTTCATTTGTCTAAGTTTTCCTCGATTTTTATCTAGAGTCTTTGAGTATTTTAGTCTTCTGTTTGTCCTTTGTAGTCTTCTGTTTTTCCTTTTTAGTCTTCTGTTTGTCCTTTGTAGTCTTCTGTTTGTCCTTTGTAGTCTTCTGTTTGTCCTTTGATGTCTTCTGTTTGTCCTTTGTAGTCTTCTGTATGTCCTTTGTAGTTTTCTGTATGTCCTTTGTAGTTTTCTGTTTGTCCTTTGTAGTCTTCTGTTCGTCCTTTGTAGTCTTCTGTATGTCCTTTGTAGCATACTGCATGTCCTGTTGTGTTCTGTGTGTCATTGGCAGTCTTCTATCTGTCCTTTGTAGCATACTGTATGTCCTGTTGTGTTCTGTTTGTCCTTTGTAGTCTTCTGTATGTCCTTTGTAGCATACTGTATGTCCTGTTGTGTTCTGTTTGTCCTTTGTAGTCTTCTGTATGTCCTTTGTAGCATACTGTATGTCCTGCCTTTGTAGTCTTCTGTATGTCCTTTGTAGCATACTGTATGTCCTGTTGTGTTCTGTGTGTCCGTTGTAATCTTCTGTCTGTCCTTTGTATTTCCTTTGTAAGCTTAGTAAGCTTCTGTATATCCTTGTATCCTTTTTAGTTTTCTACTAAAATACTATTCTCTTTTCTCTGAAAACAGTAAAAAGTCACCAAAAAAATTAGATAAAGTTTTAAATGTTGTCTCCTTTTTGCATTTTCAATTATCAAGAATTTTAACCTTAATTCTGTTTATCCTAACCAAAAAGATATTCAACTTACATATTTTTGAAAGTGTTTTAATGTCGTCATTCAATTCTTATGTTAATTGAAGCTCCCTGTATAAATAAGTTAGAAATTGAGTTGTAAGATAAAGGGGGGAGGGTCAAATAATATGTGGGAGGGTGGGGTTTGGATGGAGGGGGGTGTATATTCATATAGTGGGAGGTCTAGTTTTATAATACAATAAATTTTATGGAACTTTAATCTTGAAAAGTGAATGAATGAAGTATGAATAATGTAAGAATGAATGAATTGATCGAATGAATGTATTGGATGAAAGATGATGGGTGGGCGTTAAACGGGTGTTAAATACTATAAATGTCGTCTTAGTTCATAAATCGAGAGATATATCGATAGATAGATCGATAGATAGATCGATAGAACGATCGATAGATAGATCGATAGATAGATCGATAGATAGATCGATAGATAGATCGATAGATAGATCGATAGATAGATCGATAGATAGATCGATAGATAGATCGATAGATAGATCGATAGATAGATCGATAGATAGATCGATAGATAAATCGATAGATAGATCGATAGATAGATCGATAGATAGATCGATAGATAGATCGATAGATAGATCGATAGATAGATCGATAGATAGATTGATCGATAGATAGATCGATTGATTAAGAGATAGATAGGTAGATCGATCGATCGATAGATAGATAGATAGACAGCTATGAAGATAGAAAAGTATGCGGGTAGATTATCTGGATAGGATAGGTTAGGCTTCAATGCAAACAATTCTAATTTTAAATATTTCAAATATTTCAACAGTGCAGCCAAGTGCATAAACTTAAATTCCTCAGAAAACTGGAACAACCTAAAAAATTACGGTGGTAAATATTACAGAGGATGTTCACGGATTTGGAATGTAATTGAAGGATTCTAAGAAAATGGAATAAAATAAAATAAATAGCATTAAAAAACAGAGAATTTGGTTCCATTTACTTTTATTAATTGTTTTTATGATAAAAATTACAGATTACACATTTATTGATTTCATTAGTATTAATCTTAAATTAAAGTATAATTTTTTAAATACTTTTTTAAAATAGGGTTAGCAATTTCAATGTTAATTATACTTATTAATTAGGAACAAAGGAATTGAGTCTTTGATACAAACTCAAATTTTCTCATCTTTATACTTCTGTAACCCAATGTACTAGACGAAAGATATTTCAAACTATGAATTCTGTTAGATCAAATAATCTAAGCTTAAACTATCAAAGTTATACACCATCGTCCATCAGGTTGCAAAGATATTGGGTTAGGAAAATTTGAGTGTGGGGCCAAGACACAGTTCCTTTTAATATCTTTTATTGAATCACCTAGTTTTTTTCTTTTTATCATCTTTCTACTTTTAATAATACTCAATGTTCTTACATAAACATATCAAATTTATTTCTGAGTTGTAATATCTATTTCCTTCAATATGTATTGGTAGGCTTTTCTTTATTGCATTTTTGCCCCTTTTCTCTTTCTTACTGGGGAGAATGAATATTGGAATGTTGTCGATATTAGGTCAGGTTTCTATACTTTTCTTTTAATCAAATACCTTCTCTTTTCATAAAAAATAGTATTCAATTTATATAATATATCAACAAAACTAGATTTTACACATAAGATCTGAACTTTGGCATTGAACCAACACAGCTTTCAAAGCACTAATTTGTACGTATCTTCTAATCCGTATGTATCTTCTAATCTGTATGTATCTTCTAACCCGTATGTATCTTCTAATCCGTATGTATATTCTAATCCGTATGTATCTTCTAATCAGTATGTATCTTCTAATCCGTATGTATCTTTTAATCCGTATGTATCTTCTAATCCGTATGTATCTTCTAATCCGTATGTATCTTTTAATCCGTATGTATCTTCTAATCCGTATGTATCTTTTAATCCGTATGTATCTTCTAATCCGTATGTATCTTCTAATCCGTACGTATCTTCGCTTTCTGAAAAATTGAGATCAGAAGTACATAAAATGAGAGATCCCGAAAAAAAAAATTTTGTGTTTCAAGAATAAATCCATTAATCGCTTCAAATTGAAAGTTTCTGATTTTTCAATTAATGAAAAAAAGTAAAAAAAAAAAGATTTAAGTACAAAGATACGAATTATTGAATTAATAATGCATTCTGAATGTTTTCTATATGTTTGGAACTATTTTATCTATATGAATGTATTCTATATGTTTGGAACTAGTTTAAATGTATTCTATATTTTTGGAACTAGTTTATCTATATAAATGTATTCTATATGTTTGGAACTAGTTTATCTATATTAATGTATTCTATATGTTTGGAACTATAGTTTATCTATATAAATGTATTCTATATGTTTGGAACTAGTTTATCTATCTTCTATATGAATGTATTCTATATGTTTGGAGCTAGTTTATCTATATAAATGTATTCTATATGTTTGGAACTAGTTTATCTATATAAATGTATTCTGTATGTTTGGAACTAGTTTATCTATATGAATGTATTACGTCTAGTATGAAAACAGAATGATAAATGAAACAAGCTGAATATTAAACACAGGCATACATTCAATATCTCTCCTTCCAGATATTATTTAGTATTTATTGAGTAAACTAAACTAATTATCTAGATAATTATAATTAAAACACAATAGTTGCCATGCTCCAAAAATTTCTTGATTCTGCAGAAAAGATATAATATTGTTTAATTAAATATTAGATTGACTGTATACGTACTTTAACATAGTGGGGAAGGATGGATTCACAACTATTTCCACAAAAGCTAGTTAGGAATGCATGAGATCATTTTCTTTTTGAATTTTAATCATTTTCTTCTCTGTAAAGTGACTTGCGCATTTCTGTTACAGACAGTAAATTATCAGTATGAAACACTTTGTAAGCTTTGAAAATGACGCATTTTCGAGATGATTTAAAGCAAATAGATTGTTAAGTACAATAGATGGCAACGTAGAATTTGTACACTCTCAGTACAGTTGTATTCTGTCGTCACAAGTGTCAATTTATAAGTTTTTGTGTCCGACAAAATTATCAATAATAGTGATCATTTTAGAATAAAGTGCTTTTCTTACAGTAAAATAAGTGCAATTTTATGTATTTTTTTAGTTTCTGTTTTTATTTAATCATAGAAAACATGTCAACCAATCTGAGACAAATTCGTTTTCTTTGTTATATTTGACACTTGTGACGTTGTGTATAATTTTTTCATTTCTCTGTTGCCACCTATTGTACTTGATAATCTATTTCTCTGTTGCCACCTATTGTACTTGATAATCTATTTCTCTGTTGCCACCTATTGTACTTGATAATCTATTTGGTTTAAAGGATATCGTTGTAATAGTTCGGGCATTTTATAGGAGGTCACTTGAAATTACAACTAATTTTAAGTGGCCCTCCATGCAAACATGACAATGCCCGAAGTATGAACTAGATATGAATGGTTATGTTTTTTGAAATTGTTTATTTTATTTCTGTGTGATGGTGACTGGTGCATTTATTGTTTACTAGAGGAAAAAACTCACAGAAATAATCCCATTTCAAGTCATGAAAACGACGGTAATCTTTAGCACCCGGAAATGTATCTGAGAATTTCTGGAAATTTTAAGAAAGGCCGAGTGTAGGGGAACAGTTTTTATGTATCTCCTTCTGATCTGAGGACCCGAACCTTCTATATATATATAAATACGTATATATATGCTAGCTAACGTTGCCCAGGTTACTCATAGTTCTCCCGCTCCCGTAAATTACGAGTTTAGCAATTTTTCCCGATAAAACTGACTCAAGTTAGAATCTCAAAACCAAACTTAGAACATTTCCGGTGGGCCTCCCGAGTTCCTCAATCAAAATTTGAGGCAAATTGGTTCAGGGATTCCTAAGTTAGATCGAACAAACAAACAGACAAACAAACAAAGATTACAACGTTATAGATGATAGTAATCCCGGTTTTGTTTGTTTGTATGTATGTCCGATCTCAACTACTACCGATCCTAAGGCAAAGCTGGGTTCCCAAGCTGGCAATCCTATATTTTCTTTAAATGAAATGAGTTATGTACAAGTTCGGTGGTGGAAGCAAAAAACATTATTATCTTAAAAACTTTTTTTGGCTTTTCCATAATTGATAACCCGTTGCCAAAGCTTAGACATTAATCATATTTACCGAGATATGTACGTCATCTTTATGGATAAATATATTTACCCCCCCCCCCCTCACCACCACCACCACCGCCACCACCACCATCACAACCACCTCAGTTATCAAACCCCTTTCAAGATTAACCCTTTAAGACGGTCAAGAAGCCGACGCTTCTGTTCTTTTGCTTTAAAATTAAAAACGATTTTTGAAAAAAATCGAACTTTCCTAGGGCAAAAATATGATAAAACTTGATGTAGTCTTATTTTCGTATTAATTTGGTATAAACAATTATCATTCAAGATGGAATATTCCATCTGGAATTAATCCTGAAACTACAATAATTTAGTTTAGGGAAACCTACAAGATCAATCAATGAAGACTGAGTTTATCGATTTGGAGAATTAATATTTCCAATTTTCCAATTTTTAATTTAATCAAATTGCTTAAATTCAGTAATTCAACCCTAAGCGGTATCTAAATATAAACTTTGCTTGTCTGACTGGGTGTTTGTTTGTTTGTATTCAATAAACGTCAAAACGGCTGAACCGATCCGGCCCAAATTTATTTTTATTGTTTTACAATGCATACATTGTGAACATGTTCACAATTGAAATAGAAGATAGGCACAAAGCGTCCTGAAAGCCTAGTTAATTAAAATTTAGTACAACTTTATTTATACTTATTTGGTTTAAAAAGAAATTTAATATTAATTTTAATACTTTGACTAATACTTTTAATATTTTTTTTATTATTGGTTAATAATTCTTTATGCCATTATTTGTATTTATCTGTGTCAAATTTACCGCAAATTTAATTATCAAAATATGTTTCTTCGTAAATAAAAAGTTCTGGGGTTCAGTGTATAATTATGTTCAAAATTGGGACACCCTGTAGTGCTCTGATAAACATGTTGATGTTATCCTCCAATGTATTATAATCAGGACACCCTGTTTTATCCTCTAATGTATTATGATCGGGACACCCTGTAGTCCTCTGATGTATTATGATCGGGACACCCTGTAGTCCTCTGATGTATTATGATCGGGACACCCTGTAGTCCTCTAAAGTATAATAATCAGGACACCCTGTTATCCTCTAATGTATTATGATCGGGACACCCTGTAGTCCTCAAAAGTATAATAATCAGGACACCCTGTTATCCTTTAATGAATTATGATTGGGACACCCTGTAGTCCTCTAATGTATTATGATTGGGACATCCTGTTATCCTCTAATATATTATGATTGGGACACCCTGTAGTCCTCTAATGTATTATGATTGGGACACCCTGTAGTCCTCTAATGTTTTATGATCGGGACACCTTGTTGTCCTCTAACGTACTATGATTGGGACACCCTGTAGTCCTCTAATGTTTTATGATCGGGACACCCTGTAGTCCTCTAATCTACTATGATTGGGACACCCTGTAGTCCTCTAATGTACTGTGAAAGCTAATTTATCAAATGTTTGTTTGATATAGAATAGAATAGACAGCATGGATTCAAGTTTCACTAAAAACATCCAAAACTTATGATCTACATTTTACAATCTACAATACAAAACCTAAATTCTACAATATGAAAATCTACATTCTACAATATACATTTACAGTCTACCAAATCAATCTACAGTCACCAATCCATAATTTACAGTCTAATGTCTAAAGTACTCAATCTACGTCTAATATCTAAAATCTACAATCTACAGTCTAATATCTAAAATCTACAATCTACAGTCTAATATCTAAAATCTAAAATCTACAGTCTAATATCTAAAATATACAGTTTAATATCAACAATTTTCAATCTACATTCTAAAGTCTATAATCTACAATAATTCTACAATTTCTATACATTTACATTCTATAGTCTATTGTTTATGCAATCTGGAGAATACAAATTTACAAAACTAGAAATTCAAGGCGCTTCGCGCCCTTCTTTCTAGCCTTAGAGGGCGCTTCGCGCCCATCTTCTAAATTAGTTGAGAACATGTTCTCTTTATGTACATCGTAAAACAAAACAAAAATAATTCGCGGATTTTTACAAAAAATTTCGCGGATTTTCAAAATGTTTAAAAATTTAATGACGATCGAATTTTGATAGAGACAAATATTTGAAATTTTGATTTTTCATAAACCTTCCCTGGGGTCCCTAGATGTCCCACAAAAAATTTGGGCCCGATCGGTTCAGCCGTTTTGACGTTTATTGGATACAAACAAACAAACAAACAGACAAACAGACAAGCCAAATTTATATATAGATACAATCTGCAGTCTTATATACACAACCTACAATATCTACAATCTAATCTATAAATTCTACAGTATGTCATACATTCTACAATCTAATCTATAAATTCTTCAATATGTCATATATTCTACAATCTAATCTATAAATTCTACAGTATGTCATATATTCTACAATCTATGTATATTAAAAATTAGAATTTACATAAATTAAGGAATTAACAGTTCTGAGCTGAAAACTTTAGAATGGTGGATATCAGGATTAAGGCTTAAACCACTCTTTTTCTTAATATCCAGTTTAAATATTGCTTGTTCTCCACATGAATTTAAACTCCAGAGAAGCAACATTATCTTCNTTAAGCGAAGCATTGTTAATGAAAGAGAAAAGGAATAAATTGATTGGTAAAGAATAGTATAGTATTGCTTTGTAATAACAATTATTCTTTACAAAGAAAACATCATTTTGGTTTCCTATTTCAGTTTATAACTCAACAGCACACTTCAGCTGTATTTCGTGCTCTTGTTTATCATGAAAAATAATAAAAACTAAGTATAAACAAACTATGCAAATAAAATGCAAATTGAAAGTTCGCATGTTTACTAAATAATTCATGAAAATAATTTGTAAAAATAGCCGTGAGACAGCAAATTTTATAACATCTTCACTTTTCTGGGTTTTGTTTGTTGGCAACACAGCCATCTCTATGCAATCTGTTTATGTAACATTTTTAAGGGAGTGTTCGAAGAAAAAGTTTGAGTGTTTTTTTTAAATTTCTAAATTCTACTAGCATGGATTTCTTCTTAAACATATTTCAACCATTTTATTATAATTTAGAATGTTTATAATAAAGTTTATACAATTTATGTTAACCTTTACTTCACAAATATATCAACCTTTGAAATACTGTGTGAGTGACCTTGAACGAATTGAGTGGAGGGGGTGAAGGGGGGAGGGGGGGCTTTCTAGAAATGTGATGGATCCAGTTGGGCTGTTGACAGATGCAAAATATTTTCTTACTTTTTAAATTTCCAGTTTTTAAACACATTTATATAGTTCTCTTGAATTTCACAACATCAAATATCTCATTTTCAGTTTTAAATTATGATCTAAAATATTTTTTTTTCTTGCCAAACAATAATTATTTTATTTATTACATAAAGTCTTGCTTTTTCGTCTTCACCAATATCACAGATATTTAATTTCTCCAATTTTATACTGGTTTGACTTTGAAGTGTTATCACGCCTTGGCCTTTGGTTTTAAAACTGTAAAGAACTTTCGTATTTATGAAGTAATTTGCAAACGAACGAACGATTTCACTGAATGATCGTTCAGTTAGAAAGCGAAATGAACGATAATTTTTAGAACAAAACCATTTTTTTAGACGATGAAAAAACTATCGAAATTTTTCGTTCACGAACGATGAACAAACGAAATGAAAAAAGTCGAAAAGCTTTGATTTTTGACCAACATTTTTTAAAAACTCTCTTTCCTCTTACTCTAGGAGATATATATTTCTTTTGTTAACAATATTCAATGAATATTTATTAGTAATAATGGGAATACATTATATATATCTAAATATTACTATATTAATTCCAAATATATCTACAAACATTTTATCAACTAGCATTGTTTTAACAAGGAAGATAAAAATGGAAAGTTTTTTTTATAAAATTTAAGAAGTATTTCAAGAAGATATTAATTAATAACTTTGAAACATGAATTTGGCATCTAGTGTTGTATACTGTATATTGTATATTGTATATTGTTTATTCATCAGGAATATATATCAGAAAACTCTGCTGAAAAATTAACAAATTTAACAAAATTAACAAATTAACTTTGTAACTCCTTTTTCTTTGCATTAAAGGGACTGTAGACGTAATTTCAAATGATTGACCATAATTACAGTGGCATGTCTGATTCACAAATCCACAGAGTACCTTACTCTTTTAACGTACATTTGGCTGAGCAAGGAAGACTAAATCCTAAATTTTTCCGCAAAAACGCTTGTAATTGTTCATAATTTTGTAAGGAAACTATTTTTTATTTAAAAATTCACTTTTTTCTCCCCCGTCTATGATCAAACTACGGTTTACACCTTTTGTGAATTGGACTATTGTGAATTGGACTATTGTGAATTGGACTATTGTGAATTGGACTATTGTGAATTGGACTATTGTGAATTGGACTACTGTGAATTAGACTATTGTGAATTGGACTATTGTGAACTGGACTATTTCGAACTGGACTATTGTTAATTGGACTATTGTGAATTGGACTACTGTGAATTGGACTTCTGTGAATTGGAACTACTGTGAATTGGAACATTGTGAATTGGACTACTGTGAATTGGACTTTTGTGAATTGGACTATTGTGAATTGGACTATTGTGAATTGGACTACTGTGAATTGGACTATTGTGAATTGGACTCTTGTGAATTGGACTATTGTGAATTGGACTATTGTAAATTGGACTATTGTGAATTGGACTGTTGTGAATTAGACTATTGTGAATTGGACTATTGTGAACTGGACTATTTCGAACTGGACTATTGTTACTTGGACTATTGTGAATTGGACTACTGTGAATTGGACTACTGTGAATTGGAACTACTGTGAATTGGAACATTGTGAATTGGACTACTGTGAATTGGACTTTTGTGAATTGGACTATTGTGAATTGGACTATTGTGAATTGGACTACTGTGAATTGGACTACTGTGAATTGGAACATTGTGAATTGGACTACTGTGAATTGGACTATTGTGAATTGGACTATTGTGAATAGGACTACTGTGAATTGGACTATTGTGAATTGGACTATTGTGAATAGGACTACTGTGAATTGGACTATTGTGAATTAGACTATTGTGAATTGAACATGCTACTCATGAAAAGAGGGTCACTTGAATTTTCGTCTTCAATCTCTTTAAGCGAAGCATTGTTAATGAAAGAGAAAAGGAATAAATTGATTGGTAAAGAATAGTATAGTATTGCTTTGTAATAACAATTATACTTCTTAATGGAGCTCACAGTAATTATTGTGTATAACACAATTATCAAACCAATACAATTTATATACCAGAACAATAACAACAGTATAAACAGTTCATAGTTCTCATGATTATTTCTGACAATGTTTAATGTTAAATCTGTAAAACACTTCACTGTTTTATTTCTTTTTAATTAAATTAAATCTTACTTTTATTCATACAATATGCATTATTTAAAAGATATTCAAGAGTTAAGGCAGCATCAAACATCAACTTTAATTGTTAGAATAGTCGAAAAACTCTCAAAATGCGCTAAAACACCATGTTTAGACTTTTAAGTTCTGGAAAAAACTGACCTAAAACTTGTAATTGAGACCGATTTACAAATACAGGTTGTAGTGAATAAAAAAACTTTATATGAGATTTAAATTTTAGTTTATTTTCTGAATATATTGAGCATATAAAGAAATCTATTTTGTCTCTAAAAGTAATTTATGCTCCGAGGATTAAATATAATGCCTGATATCCTCCCGACCAGTGGATAATATATTCTCAGGTAGTAAAATACCAATGCTAAATAATTAACGTAAAATTTATGATAAATAAACTAGGAAATTCTACAAAACCTTATTGATCACAAGTCAGAACTTTTGAACTGTGAATCAATGGATCAAGTATTGATCTCCATTTTGTGCAGTCCTATGGATTTATTTCATTCCTCTTCGATATCCTGTGGTGGTCAAACATGGCCAATATTAGATATCGAGATCGGACGTTTCAGATACACACTCCAAAGAAAGTTCTTTCCTCTGGTCTTTTATAATATAAATAGAATTTCTTATTTTAGTTTTCGAAAAAGTCCAATATAATGTATGCATATTCCTGTTAGACTAGATAACTTTGACCCTTGTCTTTAAATGGAAGGACATCTGGGTATTTGTCTTTTCTTCCAGTTTTGTACGGACTCTGTACTTTGGCAAGGTTAATGAGAACGTGTGAGTTTCCGTTATGTTGACTAAGAACTCTGTTCTGAAGATTGGACCGGTTTGGCAGTGTACTGCCACTACTTGATGTACTGCTGTTTGTATAAACACTACTACTACCATGGTACCCACTACTGTAGTCTTCACCAGGATTAGTAATTATTTTAAAATCTCCTAGGGGATTGCTAGTTATCTTATAATCACTTTGTGGATTGGAATTATCAGGATAGTAAAGGGGTTCACTATCAGTACCGTGGGTATTTCCCAGAAGTGGGCTTTCTTTAGCACTAAACAGGTCCTTACTGTTCATTCTTTTTAGTCTTTGATTGAATAAATCCTCCTGCAAACTGATCTTATTAACTAGGTTAGGGTTACGGATCTGGGTATTGTATTGAGGCAGGAGAGCTGAGGGTTGCTCATATCCATCCATCCCGTCCGTATCACCACTGTAGAAAGATTCACCAATACGTTTAGACGGTGTAGCACCATGATCCCTGTACGGTGAGCCGCCGTACAATCTTGACGGTGACCCACCGTCCTGAAATCCATCATAACTTTGGAACATTCCCTCTTTAGGATAATTGAAGAGCTCCGTTGTGAACCTTGACTCTGAGTAGGTTTGATGTGTAGGGATGGAAGATTTATCCTGCATGTAAAGATAATCACAGGGCATCTTGTTACTCTGTCTGCTCTTCATACAGCTGTAAACAATGACGAGAAGAACCAAGCAGATTAAGATTAGGATTGATCCACTTGCTATACCTGAACCAACACCAGAAATTAATTTTTAACATATATCAGGAGGTTATGCTTTTGCTGTGATTAAAAGAACTGTTCTGGCAATTTATATTGAATCCACATTTTCTTCATTATTTCTGATGAAGAAATGCGCCCTCCCTGAAATTACGTTTACAGTCCCTTTACAATCAAATCTAGAAAGGAGTTGGCTTTTGGAATATTTAAATTATTAAACTGGGTTTCCCGCGACATTTTCGTTTTCCTCCTGAACTTTGCAGTGGTATACCGGATAGGGCAATGTCAACAATTTTTTGAATAAAAGAATTCCAAGAAGAAGATTGGGAAATATTTTTCCCAATATTTCTATAGAACCAACTCCTTCATTCATTCGGTATTTTATTTAATAAAGAAATTAATGTTCTCGGTTTTGTACAAATACTGTTCGCCAGAGAATATGATTTGAATTTGAATTTCTGGTTCCTATGATTAGAATATAGTCGGATTCTCCACATTGTAACTTGCTGCTGGGAACCTCCAGTAACCCCTACACCACAAATGGGTCAAATAAAGGAAAGCCGTTTTACCTGAGTTACAGTTGAGCTATTTCATAAATCTTTATATTTTATTAAATTATTCCTGTATTTAGAATCTGTTTTCTGTTTACTGTATGTCTACTGGATGACATAAATAAATCTAAGGCACATCCAATGGTGTTTTATTTTTATAGCAGTTTTACTAATTGAAATATTAAACTCAAACCACCTGGGACTAGGTTTATGTCCCAGAACACATCGGATGTTTAAATTGATTTTTTGTGTAAAACATTTTAGATATTTTTTAGATTTGAAAGTTACGGCAAACCCTCTATCTCAACATAAAATATGTTAGTTTCGGCAAGTTATACCATAGAACTGAAAATCAAGCATCTGCCGCCAAAGACAATAAGGTGAAAAGCCCGGCTATCAAATTAAGTCTCTCAAAAAATAGCTGTTTTTGGGAGTAAGCCTGAACATTTGATACAAGTTTTCTTTGGCTTAACAAATATCACAAAACTTAGAATTTTTTAAATACTTTGGAAAAAGAACTGAGCTGAAAACTTTAGAATTGGAAACCCTTAATCCTGATCGCTTAATCTGAATATCCACAGTGGAAACTTTTAATTTTCCGCTCTTGTTGGGTATCACATTTTCTACTATGCATGTAATAAAGATAAGTTTGATTACAAATACACATAAGATGCTATATCGATTGAACTAAAGTCAGTGTTAATCAGCCGACTTTCAGAGCAAACAAATTTAAATTTAACCATGCTAATATGAACTCATTAAAAAACATATTTCGTCACATTTGAGAACTATAGTCATTTTGAACGTTAGTCTTAATAAACATTAATCCAAAACTTACGTTTGTCCAATCGATGATTAGTCCAATTGATATGACACCGCGAATGCGGGAAAATTATAAAACCGGCTTTTAAAAGTTAAAGAGCGCATCTCTAAACACTAGAAATTAATTTAACTCTAGAGATTAGCAAAAAGAGAGAATCAAGCATTGATCTCGATATCCACAATTCTAAAGTTTTTATCTCTATTACTTCCTACAAATAAAAATTTGCTAATCCCATATATCTTTGAAGCCTGGAGGTGTAAACCTTAAATATTTAAAACATGACTTTAATTGTGCTAGCAGAATTTAATATTTGAAATATCAAAGGTCTACAACTTCAGGTTGCAAAGATAGTGTATGTTATTAGACATTAGAGATAATGTGTCGAGGAATCAATTCATTTTATTCTAGTTTAGTGAAAAGTTTTAATCAATAGTTTGACCCCTGCCTGATTGTCACATGTAGCTCCTTCCAGGAGACCAGGCCGGGTCTCTGCTAGTCTAAGCAACCAGCTGAGAGAGCAGGAACACACCAGAGGTGTTCCTCCGAGCCGCAGCGTACTCAACTCAGGACCCACCTAAATAGAATAGAGGTATTAGGAGATAGATAGAGTAAATATTTACTTGACTACAAGTAAACTAATATCAGTGCTTATTAAGATAATTAAAAGTAAAGAATGGATTTCCAGTTTATGTATTTCAGGTATCAAGCCAGGAAATGGTTGGGGCGGAGATTGTATGTGCTCTAGTACAAAACCTCTGTTGTTCATAATTATTGATAATTGCGCAGTGGAATTAATTAAAAGAACTCTGTAAGCGTAATTTCAATTAACTCTCAATGCAAAGATAGCAATGCCAGATTTAAAATGTATTTTTATAAGCTTGGTCTGATCATTTAAACTGTTTAGTTTCATTTGCGGTGAGGTTTCAAGGGTACCGTTGTAAATCGGGCATTTTTATACTTGCATAGAGGGTCACTTGAAATTACGCTTATGTGTATTTGGAAGATGAAAAAGCCGCTTAAAGGAAAAATGAAAGAGGGTATAGGCTGAAACCTGAACACTTCAGGCGTTGATTACAATTACAATTGATACAATTAGGTTTCTCTGGGATATCTTTGTTTTCAGATTGGTTGCATATTTGCTGAATATGATCTGTTTAAACCTACCATTTCTATACAAAATTGTATATATATATATGAATTTTCGTATAAAGGAATTGAGATTTTGTCACAATATTACATTTTTTAATTACTATATCTTTGCAGCTTAAAGGTGTAAACCTATGATTTTTCAAACTTAGATTATTTAATCTGACAGAAATTATAGTATGAAATATCAAAGTTCTACAACATCAAGTTGCAAAGATAAAGGGAATAGAAAATATGAGTTTGTGACAAAGACTCAATTCCTTTGACACAGTTTTATATCAATTTCTCGAGACAGGAACATCAGATATAACTTTCATGGCTTGCGATCAAGAGCTAATGTGATTAGGTTTCAGCCTATACCCCCTTTCATTTTTCCTTTACAGTCCCTTTAATTTATAAGTTGATTATAAAGCTACTGAAAAAGCTATTTGCTTTAAAACAACATAAAATGCACACAAGACTGATAAAATGTCGTCATTTGAACGTATGAAAGTAGAAAAGTATCTTTGAAAATTCAATATTTTGATTTGGTATTTTTTACGTGTGTTTAAATATCCTTTGAAAAACTATTTCATTGAAAATATATTTTCTTAAAAATTTTGTTTCAATTTCCAATTCATTTTTCTTTTGTAATTTTGTTCTTTCTTTCCTTTTTCCTGACCTCCATTTTGCCAAGCTGGTGTTCTATGCATTGTATTATTCTGTCAATATATTTCCGTTCTTCCACAGAAAACAATTTCATTTTTCACCGCAAATCTCTCCGATATTTATTTATTTGAAAACAATTTGTCCACCAAAAGTGTAAAGTCAACCAGCATTAGAACTAAACAAAATACTTTTATATTTTTCTTTTTCTTTATTATATTTTTTCCAGATAGTGTATAAGAGATATTTTGTAATCTCAGCGTAGGCGGCCCTAAAACTTTAGAGCGCACGGGCAGCCGTGGTACATTTGAATTTCAGAGCCGGGTCAACCTTTCCGGTCCTAGTTTGTACTGTATCGCTCGAACATAGGGTAAATAAAGCAGACACTCAATAGGACTAGCCGGTGCAACAAGGTTGACGCGGTCAGACTTTATGTTGAATTTACTTTTACGAAAGAATCTGAGGTGCGTGTGCGTACATCTAGGGTGCCCCCGACGTTGTCCAGGTTTATTATTAATAGTCATAATACCTCTCGCCGTGAAACCCGTTTACCCGCGCTTAGTATTAAATCATGTTTTTTGCTGAATTGTCCGTTGTAGCCCCTGGTTTTTCAAATATATCCAAATGTTTAGCTTCTGTCAAACCCGGGTACTAATAATAGAAATTCCTTTTAAAATATTTCAGCCAATTTGGTTCAGCCATAAATATACAGATATATATATATATATATATATATATATATATATATATATATATATATATATATATATATATATATATATATATATATATATATATTCAATCTAACTCATGCTGCCGAAGAGTGTTTCAACACGAAACATGTTGTACAGCAATAAAACGGAAAATAAGCTTATCATAATAAACTTATCGTATATATACAAATATATATATATAGTTGCGAAGAGCTTTTTTTTAGCTATATTTCACCCTAAAACGTTAAAATTATAAATAACTTTTACTGGAAGTATGAAGGTTTAAAATAAACTGGTTTTAATTATGGTCTTAATTATGAATGTTCAATAAATTTCACATTACTTTGAAAAAAATGATAAAAAAGTGTCACAGATAAGATAAATGAAAAATAAAATATTGAACACCGACTCACCTTAATATTAAAAGAATATTGTTAAATTATGTACGTGTCAAATTAAAGTAAACGTCACGTTAGAGCTACATGAGAAAAAAATGTCATGAATTTATAAAATGTAACCAAAAAACATGGTAATCTCATATTTTGGCTTAAAATCAAAACTTGTGGGGCTGAGAGGTCACAAATTGGCACCAGCAATTTTGCATAAATTTGGTTTTTTTCTTTGGTACTTTGACCTCACCTGGTCAGGGTTTAGTGTCCTCCAGGTCAGCTGGGACAAATCGAGGATTCGGAGGTTAGTGGATGATCTGAATATATCGGAGGGAATCGGAGCCAGCTTTTTATTGTTGGCTAAACTCACATACCTAAATATTTTGATGGTTTCAATCAAGCAATCAATTAATTAATGATTTTCAGAAATAGACCTTTGATATTTCAAACTAGATTAAATAGCCCAGGATTGAAATATCAAAGATTTAAACTGTGTCCCTGATGTCTTCGGTTTGTTGAATATTGTATTATTGTATAGATAAAACAAGCTTGCTATGTTGTATATTGTATTATTGTATGGAAAAAACAAGCTTGCTATGTTATATATTGTATCATTGTATAAATAAAACAATCTTGTTATGTTATATATTGTATTATTGTATAGATAAAACAAGCTTGCTCTGTTGTATATTGTATTATTGTATAGATAAAACAAGCTTGCTATGTTGTATATTGTATTATTGTAGAGATAAAACAAGCTTGTTATGTTGTATATTGTATTATTGTATACATAAAACAAGCTTGTTATGTTATATATTGTATTATTGTATAGATAAAACAAGCTTGCTGTGTTGTATATTGTATTATTATATAGATAAAACAAGCTTGCTATGTTGTATATTGTATTATTGTATACATAAAACAAGCTTGCTATGTTATATATTGTATTATTGTATAGATAAAACAAGCTTGCTATGTAGTATATTGTATTATTGTATAGATAAAACAAGTTTGCTATGTTATATATTGTATTATTGTATAGATAAAATATGTTTGCTAAATAAACTTCAAACTTTAAACCTCAATATTGGTCGACCCTTCTATACGCTATACACCCTACACAGTGACACAATACTCTGCAACTTTACAAAAACAAACAAACACTGCATTAGGTTGCACACACACAGTGCTGCATATACAATAATATCATTTGGTTGACAAACACGTTCCAATTTCAACCGTTATAATTTGACTCTCCCCTCTCCTCCCCCCCTTTCAGTAAATTTTAGTTACGCACGCAAATGAGCTTTTCTAATACTTCATGATGAAATAAGCCAGGAGCCACCAAATCTTTGTTTATAAATAGAATATTATAAAAATATAATACTAGTGTTTCCGGGAGGTATATTGTCAAAAGCTTCAAGAATCTGCAGTACACTTTGTATTAAAACATTATGATGGGGAGCTCTTGAACCCGAGACTAAAGAATGAGGAGTGTTAATAAAGAAAGTATCGAGAACCCGGTTTCATGAATAAAGCGTTAGGCAGTTTTGCAAATACAAATATTTTTGTTAAGAAATATTATTTCTTGTTGTTTCTTTACATTCTCTTAAATTTCCTGCTCTGGTATCACATTTATTTTCACAGATAAAAAGGATTTTTTAAGTACTTCCCCGTTTGAAGCTTCTATACTGTATACTGTGCAGAACTCTAGTTGCCTAACAGTCGGCCCGGTAAATCAAATGTACCGAAGTTTTCAGTGGTATTTTCCTTGATATAAAGAAATTCTATCCAATATCCACCTTTCCTTAGTACTACACTCATTAATAATTACTAGATCATACAAAACCTATCTAATATCCACCTTGCCTTAGTACTACACTCATTAATAATTACTAGATCATACAAAACCTATCCAATATCCACCTTTCCTTAGTTCTACACTCATTAATAATTACTAGATCATACAAAACCTATCTAATATCCACCTTTCCTTAGTACTACACTCATTAATAATTATTAGATCATACAAAACCTATCCAATATCCACCTTTCCTTATTACTACACTCATTAACAATTAATAGATCATACAAAACCTATCCAATATCCACCTTTCCTTAGTTCTACACTCATTAATAAATACTAGATCATACAAAATCTATCCAATATGCACCTGTCCTTAGTTCTACACTTATTAACAATTACTAGATCATACAAAACCTATCCAATATGCACCTTTCCTTAGTACTACACTCATTAATAATTACTAGATCATACAAAACCTATCCAATATGCACCTTTCCTTAGTTCTACACTCATTAATAATTACTAGATCATACAGAACCTATCCAATATGCACCTTTCCTTAGTTCTACACTCATTAATAATTACTAGATCATACAAAACCTATCCAATATGCACCTTTCCTTATTACTACACTCTTAATAATTACAAGATCAAACAAAACCTATCCAATATCCACCTTTTCTTAGTTCTACACTCATTAATAATTACTAGATCATACAAAACTTCTCACCTAAGGTTTGGAATATCGTCAAAGGTTCCTGGAAGAATATTTGTAAGAACTGGCATGTTGTTGAGGTGGAGGTTGATGAGGGACGGGTTGAACCTGATCTCCAGGCTCCTGATCATGTTCCCCGAGAGAACCAGGTCGGTAAGGTTGTTCAGGTTCGGGAGAGAGGGCAGAGCCTGCAATTTGTTGTAGCTCAAATCTTTAAAAAGAAACCAATATTTAGATTTTTTAAATGATTTAAATCATCATTATTAGGCTATCTTTGCTCTACAAATCATTTCAGGGAAACATTTATCCATGGTTAAATTTATGATAAAAAATCAATTATTTTGAGAGAGAAAAAAAATATTTAATAATATTTAATTTAAAATATTAGTTTCCTAATCGGTGTATGTTAGGAGAGGAGTGTAAACTGTCAGGTTCAAGAATTGAGAGCAGATTATCTGATAAATCCAGCTCCTAAAATATCATTCTTTAAATAACAGAAAAAATATTTATTTTTTAAATAAATTAAACTTTGAAAGCTGCACTGTAGTATTTGTATCTTATAAACTGCATGCAGTGGTTCACAATTATCAAAGGCTCTAATGAAATTAAATAGGAGCTTTTATTTAAAGGGACTGTGAGCGTAATTTTAAGTGACACTCCATGCAAAGATATCAATGCCCGATTTACAACTGTATCTCTGAACCCTTAATCTGGTAAAAACGTAGAAGATGACCCCGCTTTTCTGATTAGAAAAGTATTTACGCTTACAGTCTCTTTAAAATAATATTAAATAGTATCATTTCATCAAAGATTTCCACTGCACACTGCACACTGCACATGGCGACGAATTTCTTTTAAAATTGCGGCCGCAGATTTTCCATGAGACGAACCATTATCAATTCTTTTTGTTATATCTTATCATAGACTTGGAATAAAGAAATACTTTAAAATCGTTTATTTTTTTAGATTAGAGGACCACTTGAAATAAAACCTACAATCCCTTAAATTAAATTTATTTGATCTCATTGTTTCACTTTATCATTCGATGCATGTACATGAGATATTTATATAAAATATGATTATCACGTTCTTGTACTATTTCTAGTTAAACCCTTCTCTTTGTTGGATTATACGAATAAGTGTGAAATAAAAAATCGGGGATTTACAATATCTTTAGGAAACAGAACTTATAAGTCCAAATAACGACAAGTTTTTGAATATATACATCACACTGCAGGAAAAGGGACCTCGCTTTTTTATTTTTAAAATCAAAATGAAACTTTTCAGGTTTGAATTAATTTTTGATAAGAATTTGATTTTCTGAATATTTTCTGATTTCCTTCTGAACCAATTAAAGAAAGAGAAATGAATCTTCATCAATTGATTCAACAGTTCGCTTTATCCAAGGATATATTATATTCTGCAAATTGTATTTAAAGGGACTGTAAAGGAAAAATGAAAGGGGGTATAGGCTGAAACCTAAGAATCTCAGGATTTGATTGAGACATATAAGACATCTATCTGATGTTCCTGTCGCGAGAAATTGATATAAAGCTGTGTCAAAATTATATCAAAACGTATATATGTAACATTTTGTGTAAGATTTGTAGTATTATTAAACAGATCATATTCAACAAATACGAAATCTGAAAACAACGATATCCCAGAGGAGCCTGAGAAACTCGAGTTTGCTCCTATTATTATTTGAATTTAATAATTTTTCATTTTTAAAAGATATAATTGATAATATTATCTATGCGTCCGGAAACCCAGAACTCCAACTAATGACAGTGCAGTATTATTGTCACATGTCTCTGTCTGTATTACTTGACCAGGCTACTACACTGCCATTGGAAGGAGTTCTAGTCACGTGATATGGACGTATATCTTACATATATACGTATTGGTATAATTTCGACACATTTTTATGTCAATTTCTTGAAACAGGAACATCAGATATATGTCTTACATGTCTCAATCAACTCCTGAGATTTTCAGGTTTCAGCCTATACCCCATTCCATTTTTCCTTTAAGCTTCAGGTATTAAAATAAGGTAGTCCTACAAACACTTTTCTTTTCAAATTCGAGTTCCTTTTGTGACCTTGTCGCACCCTCCAGGGGCGTATACTTTGTTTTTAAGAATTATCTCAAACTCCCCGAACCACCTTGGAACCAAAAGCTGCCACTTTTTCAGGAGGGGACGTTGATTTAGATTTAAAAACTTCTTGTTTTTTCTCCATCTTATTGTTTCATGTTGCTGTAATCTCTTTTGTATCATTAAAAGTATAATTAGTTTTCTTATTTAACTCTACATTAAAGGACAGTGAACGTCTCTACAAATGATAAATAGAGCTGAAACAAGAAAACCTCAAAAATAGAACAAATATTAGTATTTGTTTTGTTAAGAGTCATCATGTTGTTTAGGAGATAAATAAGATAAACATAAAGTAAAATTATTTACACCAAGAATTAACAATTACAAAAACCTTGTACACTGTACACTTTACACTGTACACTGTTAACTTAAACTGTGTTTGTACACTGTACACTGTAAACTGTACACTGTACACTGTTAACTTAAACTGTGTTTGTACACTGTACACTGTACACTGTACACTGTACACTGTACACTGTTAACTTAAACTGTGTTTGTACAGTGTACACTGTACACTGTACACTGTACACTGTATACTGTACACTGTGCACTTACACTGTACACTGTACACTGTACACTGTACACTGTACACTGTACACTGTACACTGTACACTGTTAACTTAAACTGTGTTTGAACACTGTACAGTCTCTTTAAGGAATTGAGCCTTTGCCGCAAATTCAAATATTCTAATCCTTTTATTTTAACCTGATGGGGAAACATTTTGATATTTCAAACTTGAATTAATTGATCTAAAAAAATGCATAGTTTGAGAAGTTCTACCTAATTGGGTTGCAAAGATATAGGATTCGAATATTTGAGTTTGCTTTAAAGACTCAATCTGTTTGTACCTGAATATTAGGAGGGGTGATGGTGGAAGCTTGAATAGCTGGGATTAGATTCTGAGACAGGTTTATGGAGCGAAGACTAGGGAGCACACCGCTCCAAGATCCCAGCTCTCTCAGCAGGTTTTTAGAGAGCAGCAGTACCTCCAGGTTCTGTAGGAACTGGAAGGAATCAGGATCAATCTCTCGGAGTTCATTCTCACTCAGATCCAGGACTCGAAGCTGGACTAAACCTGAATATAAAAACTTAAATTTCAAAATATAGAGTTCCCTGGTTGTTATTAAAAAAATCTAAATAAGTACTAAGTCTGACTCTAAATAAGCCTTAAAAAACCTATCTAACCTGAACTTTTTTGTTCCTCTTATCAGAAACACTAATCTGTTTATTTTGTGGTAAATAGATTAAATTAATTTTTTGTTCTTTTCCGCTGTTTTTTACTCATTAGCACTTAATCGCTATATTAAAAGTTTCTTTTTGGAATGGTGAGTTCAGGCGCTGTTTTAGATTATGTCCATTGCATTTGAAAGTTTCTGGGTCTGGTTTTAAACTAATTTTCCTGCAGTTCTAACTCAATTTCTGCAGGTTATATTCCAGGTTGTTAATTCCTTGCTTTGTTAAAGATAATTATACACATTCTATCCAACTATTAGAATTCTAAACAATAGATTTTTAATCTCTTATTCCAGCTAATTACTCCTTAATTACCTAATTCAAACTTCTTCTCTCTCTAAACTACCATTTAAATCATTAAACTAATTTTAGGAAAATATAAAATAAATTTAGAAGTACAGTTTAAACTTTACACTAGGAGTCAGCAGAGCTGGGAACTTTTGAATGGTGGATATCGGGATTAATGCTTGATCCACTCTTTTTCTTAATCTCGAGATTAAAAAATTCTTTTTCTCCTCTTGTTATTTATCTCCAGATTAATTAACCGATCGGGGTTAAGGATATACTATTCTTAAGTTTTCAGCTCTGATCATTTATCCTTTTTACATTGGGACCTTAATAATGACGAAGTTAGCCTTTAAAATATTTTTATATGAAAGATATTTTACGGTTTAATGCAGCAGAGACAGGGAAGAAAATTACCATACTTCACCTACGTATAAGATAAAAACGACGATATCTTCTTGTTTGAACTTTTATTAGAGATAAAAATGGTTTCTGAACAAAGAAGGAGCTCCCTGGGGGGGGGGGGGGCAAATTAGAAATTTATAATCATATGAATAAATGGCGACAAAAATTTCTAGATGTTGCAATTATTTTGGATGCCCTGGACTAATTCTCAGGATGTTCCGTAGATTAAATAAATTACAGTAATTACGTTGTTAATGAACAAATAACACCATTAATTACAATTGGACTATTTACAACAATTTAGGAAAAAAATGTACCAAAAACCTTGTTTATAACTAATTTACTAATCCCAGGTGTAATTCTTTTTTATAATCATTAGACAAAGACTTTATCTGATACTTAGTTATAAGTTTCTTTCTAGAAAATTCATTTTAAGAATAGGTTGTGTAGGATTAATATGATTTTACTACATTAATATCATCTTCAATGCATGATGTACATTTTCTTTCTTGTTCTTTCAAAAATTCGAAACCATTATTATCCTTTAATTAATATAAGTACATTCAAAAGGTAAAATCTAATAAAAAAACACTTGAAAAAAGTTTTTTAGCATTTAATGTATGTATATTGTGAACTAATCTATATAATAAAGCTCTTCGCTCATATGTATTTTCATGTTTATATGTTAGCTATAGCTGGCCAAACGGATGGACAAAATTGGCTGAACTTATTTGAGGGAACTCATGGGTATCCCGAGGATAAGATAGGTTAAAGACAATTCAGCTATTAATTGATATAAATAGTGCTTACCCGTAAAAGCTGTGTTTTCCACCCCTTTGAGCAGGTTTCCTCTCAGGTTTAATATCTCCAGGTTCTCTAAACCATGGAAAGCTCCAGGTTTAATTCGGAGAATATGATTTCTCTCAACCTTAATATTTCGGGGTTTAAGTATATTAACCTTTACATAGTTTCCATGTTTTAAGTTTTTAAACTTTAAGAAATAAAAAGAATCTTTTTACTATTCACCCTGTGGATTCAGTAATGTTTTTTGCTTATTATACTATACAAACAGAAATAAATGATATTAATTTACAAAATAAATTAAAATTAAAAATTAAATATGGTAAATAAACTTTAGTTAATAAATTTTATTCCGGCATGGTTAGGATTGATCTTTGAAAAGTTACTTAACAATTTAATAAATGTTTATGAGACAATCCAAACATTTTATTCTTTATCTTGAACAAAATTTTCGTAATTTGGAAATACTTTTGAAGGTTCTACATAGCGAATAAAATGTAACGGACTATTTTTGAAAACAAAAACTAACCTGTAGATTTATTAAACTGTTTAGCTCTAGAAACTGATTTTCTCCAAGGCTGCTTAAATTACTAAAAAAATTTTATTTTAATGTTCATTGTTCATGAAATTAATTATTGATTGAAAAAAATACCTGAAAGAAATATTAAGATGGACTAATTGTCTGTAGAAGTCCAGGCCATGGTCCAGCCTAACTATAGAGGTCCGGGAAAGGTCAAGACTTGTTATCCTTAATAATGATAACAATAATAATAATAATAATAATGTAGGAAACTGAATACTCTCCTCACCACAAGGTCACAAAAATATAGGGATTTTACCATTAGATTTTGTGGCAAGTGTTCAGGTCCATTTAAATTAATTTTTAAAATGATCTTAACTTTGATATTTTGTTTAAACTATATATCTATTCAACTATATATATTGTATTCATCTATATATGTACCCATCTATATATGTATCCATCTAAATATGTATCCAACTGTATATGTATACATCTATATATGTATCCATCTATATATGTATCCAACTATAGATATATCCATCTGTACATGTATCCAACTGTAAACTTATACTTATCCATCTATATATGTATCCTTCTATATATGTATCCAACTCTATATGTACCCATCTATATATGTATCCAACTATAGATGTATCCATCTGTACATGTATCCAACTGTATAGGTATCCATCTATATATATTCCATCTGTATATGTATCCAACTGTATATGTATCCATCTATATATGTATCCAACTGTGTATGTATCCAACTATATATGTATCCAACTGTATATGTATCCAACTGTATATGTATCCAACTGTATATGTACCCATGTATAAATGTATTCAACTGTATATGTATCCATCTATATATGTATCCTAATGTATATGCATCCATGTATAAATGTATCCAACCCTTCACCGTGACAAGACGTGAGTGTGTGTGTGTGCGCTCGGTCATCTGGCACTAATTATCTATAAGTTCATGTATAGATAGTTCAGTCAACAAGTTATACAGGGTGTATAAAATGGCTGGTAGGAAAAATGCAAACCATGAAAAACCTCCAAGGGCTACTAACTCCAAGGAAAATAACAAGTCAGAAAAAGTTTTCCTAAGTTTCCCCCATTTTCTTATTTTTCTTATTCATGCTTTTTATCCAGTCTTTCCTTCTAATTTTCTCTTTCTCTTCTCTGTCCTCATTCTCAAAACTCTCGTATTCTTTTTCTCCGCTGCTTTCTTTCTAGCCCACGTTTTGTTTTGTTTTATTCCTAAATCATATTATTCACAACCAAGATGGCATCCCTTTAAACCAAATATTTAATAATCAACACTAATTTATCCTCCTGGCCCAGAACCTTGCCCCTCCTCCCCCTTACTTCTGGCTTTTCCCTATCTTTCACCTTCGCTATCCTTGCTGTACTAAATTTCAATGAAGTGTTAATTTTGAACTTTTTCCACGACTGTTGAAAAAGCTAAGGAACGAATTTGTTTAAAGTATTTGAGCACATTGGGAGTCACAAAACAATGTGTAGGGGTGAAATCTGAGCTTTGACAATATCATTCTTATGTTTAAAATGTACAATGTACATTGTTTTTATCTGCAATTCTCATTTGTTTATAGTGGGCCAACCAATTAAAACAACCTACTCTGGTTAGGCGGGTCCAAACTACATAGTAAATTGTGATTTTTTATTTGTATTATCTCGTGCTTTGTAGTTGAATAAAAATATGAAATGAACTGTATATGTATCCAACTGTATATGTATCCATGTATAAATGTATCCAACTGTTTATGTATCCAACTGTATATGTATCCATCTATAAATGTATCCAACTGTATATGTATCCATCTGTATATGTATCCAACTGTATATGTATCCATGTATAAATGTATCCAACTGTATATGTATCCATGTATAAATGTATCCAACTGTATGTCCTTATTATCCAGTTCCATTCCAGACTTGAGACTTGAGATGGAATTTGCATCCTCCTTTGTTTCTCCTGGGTTCAGATTTTACAGATATGTCAACTGGGAGAACTAGGAGAACAGAGAACCTTAAAGATAAAATCCGCCAAAATCTAGATTCACGGGAAAATCCGCCAAAAATTTCAAGGTTTGTAACTTTTCCACGTTCAACATCTTAGGAGTTAAATTGAGGTTAGATTAGATTAGTTACATGTTGCAGACATCCATAAACTTTTTAGATTAGAATAACAAGAAATCCATTTTTTCTTATCATCAAAGTTAGGAAATCTTAATATATAAAATGTGTGTTTAATGTTTATGCGTATAGTTAATTTGTGTACATTGATGTGTTTAGATTTAAATATTTTCAATGTATCGGCTTGATGACGGATATTATTGAGATCAAGTATTAATAATTTCATTAAATAGCTAACACATGCATTTATTTTTGCCTGATATCAAACAGAGCTGGTGGTTCAGTCAGTAAAAAAATAAACAAATCTCTTTTTTCCATTTATTTTGTTTTCAGCCTGATGTTTTGTTTATAAAAGTTTATATAAACTTGATACAGAATCCTTGATTAGAATGATGACTCAAGCATTTAGCCAGAAAACAGACAAACATTTGGAAGATTTTCCAAACCAAACCAAATATCTCGAATCATTAATACTTTTTAGTCTAAACCCAAACCAAATCTTTTATATATTCTTTGTTTAAAAACAAACGCTTTAAAAGACATTCAGACCTGTCGAACACTCCTAATATGGTTTGATGATTTTCATATCAATCTGTGAGAATTAACTAACACTGAAATTTCTGTTTGCTTCTGATTGGTTAATGAAAAGAACTGTTCTGCAGTGAGAACAAATCAAAATACAATTATTTCAATGTATATTTATTGTTCTCAGGTGTAGCCAAATATATCGATATTTTGAAACCCAAATATAATATTGCTTTCAACCAACCCAAATATATAATTGTTTTCAACTAAACAAAATATAAATTGTTCTGAACCAAACCAAATATAAAATTGTTTTCAGCCAAACCAAATCCAAACCAAATGTATAATTGTTCTGAACCAAACCAAATATATTATTATTGTTCTCACCCAAACCAAATATATTATTGTTCTCAACCAAACCAAATATATTATTGTTCTCAACCAAACCAAATATATTATTGTTCTCAACCAAACCAAACATATTAATGTTCTCAACCAAACCAAATATATTGTTCTTCTCAACCAAACCAAACATATTAATGTTCTCAACCAAACCAAATATATTGTTCTTCTCAACCAACCCAAATATATGATTGTTCTCCACCAAACCAAATATATTATTGTTCTCAACCAAACCAAATATATTGTTGTTCTCAACCAAACCAAATATATTATCGTTCTCACCCAAACCAAATATATTATTGTTCTTAACCAAACCAAATATTGTTCTATGTTGAGAAACCAGCCCGGCCCTGGACATATTCTAATTTGTTTTTAATTGTTCAACATGCAATTGTCCAATCTATAAATTAATCAGACAAGACCAATAACAAAAACTAATTTAGGTTTGGGGCCAGGGGGCGGGGGGTGGTGGGAGAAGGGGGGGGCATTATAAAGGTCGACTTTGTCCAAACGTTTACCCTTCACAAATTCAGCCAATTTCTGATAATAGAAGGCTTGTAAAAACAAAATTGATAAATAAAATGAATTTATTACAATTTTCTTTGATTTAGGCTTTTTCATATTAAACTTTGATTATTGTTTAAGTTTATCAAATTAAAAAATAAAATGTTTTTTAGTGCAAAGACGACTTAACATGTTGTTATCAAGCTATAAAAAAACAGTTAAAAAGGAGTAATTTGCAAATAAAACAGAGTTTTGTTTGAAAAATGCACTTTCTGGTTCACTGTGATATAAAAACTTTGATCTGCTTTGTCGTCTGTGTTAAAATAAAAAACGTCTTAATTCTCTTAATTATATTGAACATCTTCCAATTCTTGTAACCAATGGAATCTTGAACAATGTTTACTATGTACAAACCTTGGATTGAGAAAGTGTGGTACAGTTTGAAGATCTGATGTACTGCAGGAAACTGTTGTACTTATACACTCACATTGACTGTATACATAAACAATATAAGTTCTGTAAAAGTTAAAATTAAATCTGCAAATTTGATATTTAAGTTTTCAAAGGAAATCCAGAAACTAAATGTTTATTTTCCTTGGACACTTTGCTTCAACTGTCTTCGTCAGGGTCCCCAACATCAGGAGGAGAGAAACAAGAAGCCCCTTAGTGACCCCTAGTCCACAAACAGGTAATCTGGAAGCCCCTGACTTCCTCATAGGGCAAAAATATCCCATATTTCTAACCCTAAACAATAATTTTCTTTTAATAATTTCAGATTCATTTTAAATTTGTTCTGTATATTTGTTCTTATTTTCTAATCAATTTGTATATTTGTTCTTATTTTCTAATCAATTTATATATTTGTTCTTATTTTCTAATCAATTTGTATATTTGTTCTTATTTTCTAATCAATTTATATATTTGTTCTTATTTTCTAATCAATTTGTATATTTGTTCTTATTTTCTAATCAATTTGTATATTTGTTCTTATTTTCTAATCAATTTGTATATTTGTTCTTATTTTCTAATCAATTTGTATTCTGCTGAATCAAACTCAATAAAAAATTTGGGGTCACACTCAAAAATTCGATATATGAGATAAACAAATTAGTGCATTCAAACCGCATTTTCAGTGCAGGGCTGTGTATGTAGGATTCATCTATAATAGGTAAAACAAAATAAAATTAAATTAAACGAATTGAAATTTAAAATATCTCAACCCCAAGAGTTGGTTAAAATGGGAGTAATATATTAACTAGAGGTTGAAATGGAAGTAATCTGTTATTAAGAAGTTAAAATGGGAGTAATATATTGACTAAAAGTTGAAATGGGAGTAATATATTAACTAGAAGTTGAAATGGAAGTAATCTGTTATTAAGAAGTTAAAATGGGAGTAATATATTGACTAAAAGTTGAAATGGGAGTAATAGATTAACTAATTGTTGAAATTGGAGTAATATATTAACTAGAAGTTGAAATGGAAGTAATCTGTTATCAAGAAGTTAAAATGGGAGTAATATATTGACTAAAAGTTGAAATGGGAATAATATATTAACTAATTGTTGAAATGGGAGTTATCTGTTATCAAGAAGTTGAAATAGGAGTAATATATTGACTAAAAGTTGAAATGGGAGTAACAGATTAACTAATTGTTAAAAAATGGGAGTAATATGCTACTAGAAGTTGAAATGGGAGTAATCTGTTATCAAGAAGTTAAAGTGAAAGTACTTTGTCAAGTAGAAGTTGAAATGGAGTAATATATTAACTAGAAGTTGAAATTAAGTAATATATTAACAAGAACTTAATATATAAATAAAAACTTTAACTATAAGTTAAAATGGGAGTTATTTATTAACTCACATGTGTAATGGGAGTCATATATCAACTCAGATGTTTAATGAAAGTATTTATTTACTAAAAAAATGAAATGGGAGTAAGCTATGATGGAAGCAATATGATAAAAGAAGTTGAAACGTGAAAAGTATTATAACTTTAAGTAGAAAGTAATATATAATAGAAGATTATATAATCAAACAAAACAGTTTTAAAATATCACGTGATAAAGCTTCTGGAAGAAAAAAATACTTTTTGTTCGCATATTTTGTAAAGCCCCGTTAAAATGATGTGAGGGAAATGAAAATATTGAATAAATTTAGAACAAAGAAAACTCTCACTCTCTTTTTAACTATTTTCTTCCCTCTCAATATCGACATTTCTAATCATTAGTCAAATTCACCCTTGTCCTGTATATTTAAAAGAGTGTCTAGTTTGAGGATTAAATAGATAAGGTTTAAGGACAAAAAAAGCTAAAAAGAAATTAAGTGTGTCATGATGTAGTTTAAGGAGTTTGGACCGAGATATGATGATGAAAACATGTCGACGATCAATAATTTTAAAAAATTATTTATTTGAAAATGTTTCAATTAATTTAATGATTTTATTTATCTATTTTTTATCTTTCCAACTTCAAGGTATTATCACCAATTCATGCGATCTTGATAATATTTTCATCAAAAACTTTACAATTAACTTTTTATTTTATCTAAATCTGATCCAGGGGAATATACTAGTTCTTGTAGTAGAGCAGGATTATAAACTAGCTCTAGGAGTAGAGCAGGAGTATAAACTAGCTCTAGGAGTAGAGCAGGGGTATATACTAGTTCTAGCACTTAGAGAAAAGCAGAGATATATACAAGCTCTAGGAGTCGAGCAGGAGTGTATACTACCTCTAGGAGTAGAGCAGGAGTACATGCTAGCTCTAGTAGCAACGGGTAAGTTTCGAATAAGTAATAGAAGTTGATAATATACATTGAACATAGCGAAGGGCATAAAGTTAAAGTAAAACTATACAAAATATCCTTTATAACGTTTGATATTTCCTAGCAACAAACAAGCCCACACATAACAAAGCATATTGTACAAAACAACAATATTATCATTGGAAGAGGATACTATAAAGGAAAACAAACATGGAAAGGAATAAAATTAAGAGTTAACACCATAGATTAATTAACTAATCTATGATTAAATGTGCAAAAATTTTTCTTAATTGTAAATTTTGCCTTCGATCAAAAATTCATGAACCCAACATATGAGTACATGGGGAGGGGTTACTGAACTACAAGGACCAGGGGGAGGTGGTTACAGAACTACAAGGACCAGGGGGAGGGGGTTCTGTGGGTGAGAGGAAAGAAAAATGAGGGAAGGAAAATGAGAAGGGGTCTACTGTATATGTGTATAAGGTGTCAATAAATCATAATTTATTGTATGATACACAACACCGGGGTTCAGTTTTTATCAACTTTATATAGATAGATATATGAATGGGGTCAGTAGATAGATAGATAGATAGATAGATAGATGGATATCAGTAGAATTAATAAAATGAGTTTATCAGATAAAATATGAACTCATTTCAGAAATAATACTTTTTTATCTGCCTTGTCAAATATTATATTTCAGTATCAGACGTTTTCTTAGTCTGAATAAAATTGTACTTTGTCTACCTTTTCTTTTTATAATTCTCAGAAATCCCCCCCCCCCTCGTCAGGAGTCAGAACTCCATCTTCCTATTTTGCCAAACGATATTTGCTGTGATTTCCAATAATTTGGGAAAACCAAATATAAATTTTCACTTTTGAGAATTCACTGGGAAAACTGAAATTTGGCCAACTTCCGTTTTTGCACAAAAATTCTTTCTTCAGATTTTTTTTATTTAGACCAGACATAAACCTTCCCTTGGGTTAAGTGAGTTGTCATAACGGCCCGATAGGTTTAATCGACGATTACTAGATACAAAAAATAAACGCCAAGACAGGCATGTTTTCTGCAGACTAGAAACCCAATCTCTGAAAAATTTTGGTTGATTATTGTTAATTTTACCGAATCCATTATTTTTTATTTCGAGGCCAATTTTACATGACAAGTCCTTTTTTAGAATCTTACTCCAAGTCTTACTGTTTACTTAATGATTTTAAATGTAATATACATTGATGTTATTTTTAATCAAAATATCTCTTTCCATCTCTTTAAATTCCAAGAAAAATAATCTGTCCTTGAAACTCATTTTTTTCTCAAATTTAACTTCAATAGAAACAAATTATCAAATGATAATACTTCTCAATGTTTACGTTTCAAAACTTGATAAATAGTTTGTACTCCATAACATAAGCAGATTTTGTCTCCCCAGTACAGAAATAAAATAAAAAACCAAAAATTCTGAATTGCTAAAAAAATGTTTTAAATGGTCGAATAATAATATTGATAACTAATTGTTGAAATTGGAGTAATATATTAACTAGAAGTTGAAATGGAAGTAAGGCGGGGGAATAGTATTTGAAATTATGCTAATCAACTGTGATCATTCATGTGTCCACAGCTGTTCCTCAATCGATAAAATCCGCGAACTGAATGTCAATTTATACATTACATACATATCTACATATATATTAGAAATATTAAAGAAATGTAAATTTAGACATAAGATCATTAGCGCTAGCTTAGAAATATATTAGTGTGATAAATTGGTAACGTAATCAATGTTTGATATCTCCATAAAAACAAGTATTGAAATATTTAATAAATTATTCTTTTTAAATACAAATTAATTTTTTACATTTTGTGCAGCTTAGTAGTGAAATATATATGATTTTTATGTTGTATAATGTCTATTTTGTATCATTTATGTCACTCTTATATAAAATATTTCTTTAAAAAGTGAATTAAAAAAAACGATAGAGCTCAAGAATTAGCTTCAAACAAGGAAAATTGTCTAAGCCGTAAACTTTTGAATGAACGAAACTGATTTGATCGATTCAATCCAAAGAGTTAAACTAATTTTTTCCTACATGAAAGAATAACAGATTTAACAACGATTAAACCAGATAAGACCGATGAAAGTTCTGTTAAACCGCTACTTTTAATCCTGATGATTCAAAAGTTTCCATTTCTGTATATTTACCTGATTTTACAAAAAGCTTCAGAATCTTAATATTTTCCTCCAGTTCTCGCGCATTTCCGACATTTTCTACTTGATTTCTTATTTTTGTCACTTAGCGCAGATTGATGATGTATTTTAGGGAACCAGGTCCAGTCTTCATATTTTCATCACATTGTAGGAATATCTGGAATATTAAATATGATCTATGTTCCTTCATTCTTTAGACAGGGTGTCCCACTAAACATGACAGATTAGAGACGACTCATGAAGGTCGTCTTTCATCTAAGATACCTATTCTAAGGCCGATGTTATGTTAGGTACTTTCCAAAAGGCTTTTTCCTAGGCGGCAACTTCCAAAGGTTATTTTCCCAAGGGGTAACTTCCCAAATTCCCAATTCTACTCCTAACTTATATTCTACTCCTAACATATATTCTACTCCTAACAATTACTCTACTTCTAAATTATATTCTACTTCTAAATTATATTCTACTTCTAAATTATATTCTACTTCTAAACATATATTCTACTCCTAACAATTACTCTACTCTACTTCTAAATTATATTCTACTTCTAAATTATATTCTACTTCTAAATTATATTCTACTTCTAAATTATATTCTACTTCTAAACTATGTTCTACTCCTAACATATATTCTACTCCTAGCATATATTATACTACTAACATATATTCTACTCCTAACATATATTCTACTCCTAACATATATTCTACTCCTAACAATATATATTCTACCCCTAACAATATATTCTACTGCTAACATATATTCTACTCCTAACAATATACATTCTACCCCTAACAATATATTCTACTGCTAACATATATTCTACTTCTAACAATATATATTCTACTCCTAACAATATATATTCTACGAATGATTCTATAACTATGTGAGATTATTGATTAAGAAAAGACAGTTTTTACTGAAAATAAACTAATAAGAAGTTTGGATTCTTCGTTATTCGTTTCCCTTCTCCCATCAATCCGTTCCCTCCTTCTCCTACTATTTCTTCTCCTCCTTCTCACGGATGAGAAACCCTTCAATCGTTGCTTTGACCCCTCCTCCTTATCCTGCAGTTGATTTATGGCTGTTCGCTGTATGCTGTACGCTCTTAAACTCCTTTTGAATCCCTGAAAATATTTATCTTGGAATCTAGTAAAAGTCCTTGGACTCCCTTGAAATCTCTGAGAACAAATTAAAATCCCTTGACATAGCTAAGAACCTCTTGGAATCTCCTGAACCCTCTTCAAACATTTTAGAATCCCTTGAAATTGCTTAGAACCTCCTGGTATCCCTTGAGAACCTCCTGGTATCCCTTGAGAACCTTGTGGAATCCCTTGAGAACCTTGTGGAATCCCTTGCAAACAAGTAGAACCTCTTAGATTCCCTTTAACTAAATGGCCTAAAACCTCTTGGAATTACTTGATATATCCTCTGGAATCACTAACAATCCCTTGGCATCCCTAAGAACCCACTGGAATCCCTTGGACATTCATTGAAACGTTAAACCTAAATGTATAAAGTGCCTGCAGCACATAAAAGTTATTGTACGGTCGTAGGCGATTATATCAATATAATAAAGACGAATTTCTTACTTAAGTATTAATTGTTAACAAGCTCTTTTCGAATTAGTTTACAAGTAATTGAAGAGAAGCTTTTTTTAATTGACAGCTTCTATTTGTTTTTTATTTTTTTGTGTATTTATGCTGTTTAAAAGCTTGATATAAACCAAAATTGAAATCGAAAGTCGGCTTCATTATATTGATATAATCGCCTACCACCGTAGAAAAATGCTTTTTGAAAATCCTATTCAAATCGTTTTGAAAAACTCAAAACCCTCTTTATCTAATTTCCTAATTCTGTATTTCCTCATCAAAATACGTTTTCTACGGATAGATTCCACAGTTTTATACCTACAGACCATGTTCATTGCTAATCAATTATTCGGAAAGTAATCCAGAATTAATTAATATTAGATTAAAACTATTGAAAAACTCAAATTCATAGCGTAGAAAAATAAGTCACTGAGAAATAGTAGAAATAGTTTTTGGTAAACAAAGTGTGGAATCGTGTTGAATGGATAAAAGGATGTTTTAGGTTTAAAATATAAATATTTCTATTCAAAGTTCCGCACAGTGTATTCAAAAAAGGCCATCTAGAATGAAGTCACAAAATTGACCAAATAAAATTTTTTTTAAAAATTCTTGACTTTTTATTTTACAAATATAAATTAGATTGGAATAATAATCTTAAAGATTTTTCTCTTTTAATTAATTTTTTTACGGAGTTATTTCTTAAACTTTACGCTTTATAGAGGAACTGGGTTTCAAACTGTAATGTTATTAAAAAGCAAAAAAACCATTTCAATGCAATCAGAGATCGTAACTTTTGCTAATGCTTCCTGAGCTGAAAACTTAAGAATGGTGGGTATCGAGATTAATGCTTGATCCTCTCTTTTTCTTAATCTCGAGACTAACCTAATCTTGTGATAGTATCCTGAAAAATGTATAAAATTCAACCAATCAGAGTCGCGTATATAAAGCCGAGAAATTTGATATTTTTCGCGCTATTTTAAGATTACAGAAACGGGAAGGACTCTCTAATTTTAAAAAACCGGTTTTTGATTTTTCTCGACTATAGGAAAGAAAGAACGGTTTAAGAAGAAAATCAAAAGTGTGTCCATTGGAAACTAAGATTAAGTTATCGGGATTAAGGATATCTCATTCTTAAGTTTTCAGCTCTGAAGAGATTAACAGTAAAAAAAGTTCCAACCCTTAGGCTAAAAACTATTTTGCGTAGTTTGTGATGAAAAATACATAAATATAAAATATTTCTTCCTCTGTAGGTTTCTGACGTTAATGAGATTATTCAGATATTTTCATTTTTGTTTTCTAAGGAAAGATATGTATTTGGAAATATTTAATTTCTAGCTTTTGCCTCACTTGTTCCACAAAAAGGTGATTAAAAAATCTTATTTTTGAGTGACAAATATCTAAACGCAAAACAGTAAAAAAATTAAATATTTAATAACACGTGTTTATCATCTATATTTTCATATGTGTTTGTTCTTTTTATAAAGCACGTTGGTTACTTAGTAATTTATTGGACAGAGCGGGTAATTATTTAAAGTAAATAATTACCATTAATTATACCTTTAAAGATTTTCAAATTACACCTTGTTTTTGGGTGAACCTTTTAAATAATGTATTCTACAGAATTTAAACAATGAATTCCGTTTTTTCAATCAAGATTTCCAGTGAAACCAAGCAAAAAGCCTGGTTTCATGCTTAACAAATATTAGATATAAAACAAAGTAGAGTTTTTAATAGGATTCAACAAAAAGTCCAGGGGCGACAGCTATACACATAGATCTAGACAGCTATACACATAGATCTAGACAGCTATACACATAGATCTAGACAGCTATACACATAGATCTAGACAGCTATATACATAGATCTAGACAGCTATACACATAGATCTAGACAGGTATACACATAGATCTAGACAGCTATATACATAGATCTAGACAGCTATACACATAGATCTAGACAGCTATACACATAGATCTAGACAGCTATAGACATAGATCTAGACAGCTATGCACATAGATCTAGCCAGCTATAGACATAGATCTAGACAGCTATACACATAGATCTAGACAGCTATACACACACATAGTTCTAGACAGCTATGAAATGTTGCACCAATTTGTAAGTTTCGCAATGTCAAAGATGTTTTTTTATTTTATCTCACTAACTCTAATATATACGTTGTTTATACGTTTTAGCACTAGTTTTTAGCTTTATATTTTAAGAAGTAATTGGTAAAATTCTCATCGATTTTTGCGGAGAGGATTTAGAAACCTTTGGGTCAATGTGAATGGTTGATTCCAATACTTTTAACTTAAAAAATTCAAAATGATATTCATGGTTCAGAATTATCTCATTTTGTAAAATAATTTTACTTGTCTGAAAAGCTAATCTTGAAAATACATTAATTTTACATGATCTATAATATTAATTCATTATGTTGTTTTATGTATTGTTTTAAACTATGAGCCGCAACATTATATGATTCTTGTAATACATAAGTAAAATCATATTTTATGTTATTCTTTATAGTTTCTCACGAACTTTAAAGTAAAATTAATTATTTTAAAGATGTTACGGTGTCACTTGGAGCCCCATGACAAATACTCTTCTGCATTAAGTTTATTTTATGTCATCATAATAATGTTAATTTTATATGTTGATATTTAATAATCACTTATTTAACAATATTATCAATGTTTAACTAGGCTCCGTTCTAGTGGAAAAACTTGCTCCGACTGAGGGAGCAGAGACTAGGGTAGGAGGAGAACCTAAACCTGACTCCGGTGGATCAGTCTCCGGTCCAGAGTAAATCTGCGAACATTCCGGGGTTGGGGGATATCTCCGAATCCCCCCCCCCTCCACCTTCCCCTGAACTTCCTCTCTGAATAAATTGAGGACAAGTATTAACGTATGCACCCCTTTCACGATAGATACTAGCTATTAGCGAGGTCAAATAAGAAAAAGAAAATATAATTTTCGGGAAAAAAGAAAAATCAGAACTTGTTTCTTTGACATTTATTTTTAGATTCTAATTCACAATTTGTACAGAAGAAATCATGATATTTTAATTAATAAAACTTAAATGAGAAAAAGAACATACACGAAATGTCGATTTTTAATTTCTCCGAAAATGAAAATTCATGCTACAAGCATCAGACCATTTTGAAATAAAATTAAGAATAACTCTAAGCCAAATGTAACAATAAAGACAATAAAGCGCATTTATAAATGTTCATTTAAGCAAATAACGTATGCATTTCCGGAATTAGTCAAACTCGAATGCATTCACTGAGAAGGTTGAGATCTTATCTCTCATTCGTCAAACTTCAGAATTCTTGACCAATAAAAGATGTATCTGGGTTTTTAATAAGTTGGATATTTATTCATATTTCACAAGCTTTGTTTCGTTTAAGGATAAATTTTTTGTTGAATATATCTAACTAACCTTTTTCGAATGACAAGTTACTTTAAAAGTTTGCATTGCATCCTATTCCAATTAATCAAAATAAAAACGATGCTGAATCAAAATGTTAAAATATAGAAAACAGCTGAATTGAAGAAATGACAAAAATATAAGATTAAAAAACG